GGCTCCAGGGTCATCTTTGGAAAAAGGTGGTATTGATGACGATAATTGTCTTAACGGTGACGATGGCACAGGCACAAACGTAACTTCTTCGGCGACGTAACTTCGGCGGCATCATCTTAAATTAAAAACAGACATACAAATACATAATATTGTTTACATGAGTACCTATATATCTCCTTGTGTTGAAGAAACTGATTTATCTATCTATGAATAATTATTTATATTTATACAAATTAGAGTATCTGTTTGTAATATTAAAATAACCGCTTTTCACTAAATGCTTATGGGTGTTAGCCATACCAATATTTCGCTTGTGGAAATTTTGGGATTGAGTCAGCCGATATTCTTTTAGACTCAATTTTCACTTGATATGCATTCGGTACAGAAAAAACTCAGCCATTGTTTGTTCAATGTGAGTCGGATATGCATTTTACAATTTACATTGGAATAGCAGTGGCGCCATCTTTCGAATATTAGCCATTTATATGGGTTAAGTTCGGGTGTAACGGAATATATATCTCAATAGAAGATATGTCAATGAAATTATATGAGAATATTTCGATTTTTATTACCGAAAAATATAATCGGTAATAAAAATTATATTTATTGTATTAGTTATGTTGACTTTAATATAAAATAACAAGAAGCAATGAAAATAAGTTAGTATATGATCTTTAATATAAATTAATAAGATACCAATTATAATTGTGATTCTTTCATGCTTCTTTCGGCTAATGAGTGATGAGTTCTTTCGTAACATGTTTGTACGTAGGTTGACTTTTCTACTTCGGGATTTGACAACCCTAGTATTGCAATCTGGCAACTCCCACTTTATCGTAAAGTTTGAAATTTTTAATGCTATACAAACTCAAAACATTTTGACAAACGAGCGCTATTTGTGTTGTTTACAGCAACTTAAAATATTCATCTTGCCAAAAAATTGAATTCTTTTTTACAACTTTCGACGTTAGTTAAGTATAGGTATATATTGCAAGATCGTCATGTTACCTATCATGAAATACAGGCATTAGTAGGACCAGCATACATTCAATATTGCATGAACATTTGACTGTAACACAAATTTGTTAGCGGTGCTTTAAAGCACGATTATGACATGGTGACCGTTGATGAATCGTGGACTTACGCATATTAGCCCGAAAGTAATTAGCAGTCGTTTCAAGATGAGTCGAATCCCACAAAAGCTGTTTGCGCACGTAGCACTCCCAAGCAAATGGAAAAACTGGACTTGTCGGAACCATACCAATAGAACAATGCGGAGCAGTAAATTCTGAGTGGTACACAACCATTTGTTTGCCAGTTGTCTTTCAAGAGTTCAAGAAAACCAATTGCCGATAAACGATCGATCTTCGCCAGGACAATGCGAGCGACGTCGACTAAAACAACTGCATTTTTGAGTACTCAAAAAATCTATTTGATGAGTCATCCACCGTATAGTCCTGACTTAAGACCGAATGTCTTTTATTCTCGTACGTAAAAGATAAACTAAGAGTTCAACGTATTTCCGACATCTGAACAGGCGGTTGGTGTGTTCATAAGTGTATAGATTTTATTGGAGAATATTTTGAGAAACAGAAAAGCGATTTTTGATAAATAATATTTGTGTTTGTTCTTTAATCCCGAAATATAAAAGCAACCCTCGTACTTACGCAACAGGTTGTTACAGAGTTGAATAACGGTTGTTTGTATCACCTAAAGCTATTCGAGATAGATGTGAAGTTATATACATATATATAAGTGATCAGGATGACGAGTCGAGTTGAATTTCGGGTGACTGTCCTTCCATGTAAACAAAACCGTGAGTAAGAATTGAGATATCTTGATGGAGCTTGGAAATTGGAAACTTGGCCATTGCCACGGCCACAAAACGCCTTTAATCAAAAACCTATAAATGGCCTTAAGTAAACTCCATAAGAAGATACAAATTTGGTGTTTGGTACAACGTATCACATTAGGGTAGGGCATATGTGGCTTTCAATGTACATTAGAGTGCACATTAATATGTCCCAAGGTATAAGGAAAAATGTTTTCCTCGAAAAATAAATCCCATACCTTCAATGTTTTTTTTTCTAAATTACCTTATTAGTATATATAAAAAAACTTATTGCGGATGAATCATAAGAATCCGTGCCGACTTGATACCGCACATAATATTTAAATTTTTGTACCGGGTAAATAGATGTTCGAGCTTATTTAGTTAATAAACCACTACATATCCCAAATATACGCTGAAAATTTTGAAAAATGCCTCAATACTAGCTCCCTCATCAATTAGTGACATATATCTAGCGCCGCTAATAATTTTGGATGAAGTCTTTCGGCATTCATTTTTGTGTTGAAAGCACTCGACCTGGGTTGACCAATCTTCTAGCAACGATATTATGCCGGCGTTCGAAACAGATTATATTTATATTACCGCTTCTCTTCCTCAATATTCTTCAGGCGCGGCCTTTCCGCTTTATCGATTGTTAATGTTTTTGGTGACTTACTCACTTCATCTAAAAGACCCAGTCGACCTGGCTGCCGTTGTCGTTGCACGAAATGCTTATCTTCATTTGTTTTCAATAATTGAAGCGTATCGGCGTGTGCAATATTAAACAAATTGTCTAAGTTCCTGACAAACTCTTCTCGCTGCTGTCTTGGGGGTTTTGTGCATTATTTTTTGCAACTCCCTTAAACTTTGATATAAATTCACAAGTTTCTTTACACCAATAAGAAAAGATTTTGTAGTAATACGAGCTCATTCTCAATATATAATGTTCTCGCGAATACTGATATCTTAATTTATAGTAATTTCACTTGTCAAGTATTGTGGGATAACACTCCTAAATCTTGTTCATTAGAAGGAAGTTTTGAACCTTTATTTGATGTTTTGCATCTCCTATTAAAAATATATTTTTCTTAAAACTGCGTATTTTAAGTTGACATGTTGATTGGACGAAAATTGTGTGTTTAATGTATAATGATGATAAAACGGGCCGGTATTAAAATTGGACAATGGTCGTGGCACTGCCCATCTTTAGGGGAAACCCCATATATCAGGACCTGCTCCTATATTACCGTGGGAAAATGAACGAAATCAAATCACAACCACGCCTACTTCCTATACAACAAAATTTTTAATTCCTGATTCTATCACTTTCCAGTATACAAATCAAGCACTAATCAGGATATCGGGATAAAACTTTAACATCTCGAGAAAAAAAATTGCAAAATCGGACCATAACTTATCAAACCCCCACATACCATATGCTTGCATTAGGAGCAGTGGCGTAGCGTGCCTTGTCAGGGCCCCGTATAAAAATTTTTTTGGAGGCCCCTATATGGAGGTAAAGATTTTTCACAAAAGAAAAAAAATATTGTGAGAAGAAATATTTATTTATCACATAATTTACCCATTTTACAAATAAAAATCGAATTTTAAATATTCACTCTCCTTGCCTTTTTTTCGGCAAACTGATTTATTAAATCATTTGTGGCTGATGATGATTTTAGTTTTTCTAAAGTTTCTGCCTCTATGGACAATAGTGAGATGTCTGACAACCGTTCTTGTCCCATCGAAGTTCTTAAGTAATTTTTTATTAGTTTTAATTTTGAAAAACTTCTTTCTGCCGTTGCGGTTGTAACTGGAAGGGTCAAGAATAAAAAGCATGCTGTGATTACCTCGGGAAAACTGGATACAAGACTATTGAATTTTACTAGCAATAATTCAATGAGTTCTTTAATGGAATACATTTTTTTAATTTCAGAATTTAAGCATGTTTTTAGAGCCTTTAATTGGTCACAAAGCAGACAGTTTTCCGGAAGCGTTTAATATCTCTTCGCTTGAAGAAGATAGGAGTTTCTCCGGTTGTAATATTTCGAATATACTACTCAGGTTGCTAAGGCTCTGAAATCTTTCTTTAGTTTGAGAAATTAATATATCTAAACAGCAATAGTATACATTGACTTTGAAATAGGATTCCGGGTCGGAAATTCTCTCGTCTTGTGATAACTCATCAAAAAAACGCTTCGTTATCTTTCGCCTACTGTTATTAAAAACAGTTGTTACCCCCTACTCTTTTGCTAAATCTTTGGATTCATTTAGCAAACTATTAAATGAATTCTGATTTCTTAATTGGCACAATCTATTTAAAAGATTACTTAATAAAATACTAGATTTCTGTAAGTCATTATTTTCATGCTGTAGAGCTTTAGAAACAGGATTAATAATTTCAAATAGTAAAGAAAAAAATGTAACGAGCACTAAGAAATCAAAACTCTAAAATATTAAATATACTTTTACATTCTTCACGTTCATCTTTTTTATTTGAAATTAAATTTAGTTGGTACAAAGTTTTCATGATTAGTAAACAATTTTTCTTTACTGCTAATAAAGCGTCGTTCCTAGAAGACCATCTGGTAGGACATACCTTTTTAAGGGTAATCAAATATTTTTCAGATGAATCGTCACTTAGCATAGCCCAACGTTTTATACTATTGCCAATAAAAGTATATATTTTTTCTAAATTATCGAAAAAAGTCGATACTTCACGAACATGTCTCGCAGCATCGTTCAAAACTAAGTTTAAAGCGCGCGCGTGCGTTAAAGCGCATAATCGGCATTTGGAGCATGCTCTTTTATTAAGGTTTGTAATCCTCCATACACACCCGACATAACGTTTGCTCCATCGTATCCCTGTCCTCTACATTTAGTCAAATCAATTAGATATTCTTTAGTCAAATTTAAAATGACAGTTTTCAGACCTGCAGCACTGCAATCGGTTACTGCTATAAATCCTAAAAAGGACTCACAGATTTTTATTTCTTTAGGCACATTATCATCATTTTCTGTAACCGAGATATATCGAAAAACTACAGATAGTTGGTCAATTTTTGACAAGTCTTGTGTTGTATCCAGAATTATTGTCAGAAATGGAGCTTTTTTAATTTCTGAGATAATATTGTTCCTAACGGTGGTACCAAGCAAACTAATAATTTCGTTTTGAATCGTAGGGCTTAAATAATTTATTTCACCTTTCGGTTTTAGAAGAAGTTCTTTTAAAGTTGCATCATAGTTAGATAGCAGACGTGAAATTGCCATAAAATTGCCAGAATCAGAATCATGCCCCCTCAAAGGTAGATTACAAGATACTAAAGTAATTATAACATTAATTATACGATGCAGTACATCTCTCCAGAATGTAATTTTACTATCGATTTCACTTTTCAATAGAGTATCGATGGTATTTCCTTGCAACCAATTATTATAAGAGAGTGAGGCACTAATATGCTGCTGTGACTTTTCATGGTCAAGAATAGTTCGTGTGAAATTGCTTCTAACCGAAACACCGTTAACCCAAGCAGAGGAGTACGATTTGTTTTGACGATCTGCTAATAACCAACAGAAGTGACAGTACGGTTTGTTTAAAACGTTAGAATAACATAACCATGGTCTTATAATTTTTATGCCTGCCTGATTGAAATATGAATAATATTATAATAAGCCGAAAAAGGTCGGTTCGTTTCTGAAACTTTTGGAAATGGTCCTTGTGGTTTAAATGGACATAATTTAAAAATTATTTTTCGTTCGCATTTAGTTAAATTGTCACCAAAATTTCCTCTATCTGATGAAATTATATTACAATCTGCAGATATATCAGAATCGTTGACTTGGGGTTCCTCGATTTCTGGATGGACATCCGATAAAGTATGTGCTTGGCTTTCTTCTATTTCCGGATGGATAATTGACGAAGAACATGCTTCAGAAGAATCTAAAAATAAACGAGTAATTGTTAAAAAATAAATACGAATGCCTTGATACTAAACTAAAAAGAGTTATATATAAATAAATAACGTTACTAAGGGTCACAGTTAGAGAGTGTTCAGTTCAGACGCAAACAGACTCTACGCGGATTGTGCTCGTACCTATTAGTAGATACAAAATCACCTGCAGCCCGTCCGTGCATTACTATACACCTGCGTGCTATTTAAACGCAGCGCGTAGTGTAGTGGCTATACAAAACGAGAACCCGAAACCGAGTCTGCACATCTGAAGTTCTCAACACGCAATTAACGATACGATACGGACTGATAGACAAACAACAAAACAAATCGATCCTATAGATAAGTTAGAATTTTGTTTTTTTTTAATCAAGGCACGGAACCCTAAAAACAGTATAATTGTAAAAATCGAGGGGGGAGACCACTTTTTGTGACGCACAGATGGACAGACCGAAATTAAAAGATTTCCTTGTTTATCACTACGGGCCCCTAATAAATGGGTTGGGTAGTACTTACCTTTCCAATCTAAATCACTCACAGTATCTTGTCTCTGAAAAAATGAAGAAATTTTGGGCACTTTTTTTATAACCTCGTCCCTTTTCTGTTTAATTTTTCTGTTCTCAGCGCCGCTGGGATAATCTCTTTACCTTTCACTCATTTCTTTTACAAATCGCTACTAATACTGCTAAACCAGAAGAACATTAACAAATACAACATATAAAGCGCGTAAATAAACAGTGCACTGCACTCCGTGGTTTAACATCCAATGCAAAGTACAGCAACGTACACGTACATCGCGATATCGATGAAGGATTCCCGGGGATTCCCCGCTGAGTTGAAGATGAAGTAAGAAAAACGGGGAAGTCCCGCAGACCGCCATAACGATGTAGAGTGTTGCCAACTTTTGAACGCACGCTTAAGGCGGCAAAAAAAGGAATTGCTTAGAATTTTGTCATTTGTAAAATAAAATAAATTAGAAAGTTTTTATTATTTTTCCTTACACACTTTGGGGGCCCCGTATAATTGATACGGCAAATACGGCGGTAGCTACGCCCCTGATTAGGAGCCAATTTCGATTAGTAGTTTGTTTTTGACCACAGAAAAGGTTTGTCACGTTTTTGTGTGCTCTTCGATTTTTGACTTTTGTAAGAAATGGATCAAAGAATATGTATTGAATTTTGCGTTAAAAATGTAATAAAGTGCTCTAAGGCACTTGAAATGTTGACTATGGCATTGGGTAGTCCACTTTGCCTCAAAAAAGTGTTTATAAGTGGTACAAGCGCTTTACTGAAGGCCGAGAAGATGTTGATGACGATGAGCATCCTAGAGGTGCGATCACGTCAACAAGCGAAGAAAACATCGAAATTGAAAATAGTTGAGTGTCTATTACGGAAGTTGTAGAGGATGTTGGCATATCCCCATGTAGATTGTAATTGTAGAGCAGTCCTCGAGATATGGGTTTCACCTAAATATGAGCAGTACCAGGCCCATTGTCCAATGTGGATACCGGCTCCTAATGCTAAACATATTTGTTTTGAACAAGTTTGGCTGATTTACCATAACTTAAGTGGCTTGAGGGTTATTTACATTAAACCTATTAACTGCAGCAGTAAAATATACTTAGACCGTAAGTAATACAGTAATCGTCTGCCACGAGGTAATAACTCACAAAATGGTCTGCCATTAATTTTGGGCGTTGCATTTATTGTACCCCTTAATCTGACTAAACTGCAGCTTTGTTTAAAGACTTAAGAAATTTTTCTAATTTTCGTACCTGTATTACCTTAGTGACGTCATACTACCTTCGCTTGGCGTAATGGCTTCCGGTTTCATGTAAGGCAGGTATAGGATAATCTTTTAGCAAAATATTACTATTGGTACAGTCTGCCGTCCACTGGCTTTTAGACTACAACCGATATAATGAATTCCGCCATTCTAGCTGACTTTAAGCCGTTTATATATGTGAGATTTTAAATGTTTTCATAAATACAAGTATAATGTGGTGAGTCACTGAATATGAATGAAATCGGTGTGGCCCGTGGTCTAAGTTTATTATCATTCATTTTTTTCTCATATACCCATATGTTAAATGTAACCGCTTTGGTTAAGTTTAAATGACATACATATGTATATCTTATTTGAATTAAATGGTTTCATTCTCGGATATGAGGCAAAATATAGTAATGAGACTAAGTGAGTCTATGCCCTCTAATATAAGTTAATAAGATACCAAACACAGTTGTAATCCTTTCACTCTTTCTTCGAATAATGAATGTTAACTTCCTTTGCAACATTTTTTTATATAAAGTTTAGCCAAGATCTAAAAGTATTTCCCCGGCTTTGGTCCTTACGAGAGTATAAAATGTTCGGTTATTTCCGAACTTATTGCATCTGGTGGTTTCTTCCTCGTGTAACGACATTGTGTGGGCGGTTCAAAGATCCATTTCGTTTATTCATTCAGATTTTTATATATAATATGTATGTGTATAACACTACACCTATTTTAATTAGTTTTAGCAGTTACAAACAACTGTTGGTTGATTAGACTCTGTGCAAAATGTTTTTAGATTATAAAAAGTATAAGCGGTTATAAAGTTTAATAATTATACCCTGAACAGGGTATATTAAGTTTGTAACACCCAGAAGAAAACGTCGGAGACCCTATAAAATAAGTATGTGCATAAATGATCAGCATGATGAGCTGAGTTGATGTAGCCATGTCCGTCTGTCTGTATATATACAAACTAGTCCCACAGTTTTTAAGCTATCGATCTGAAATTTTGCACCTGAAGTCTGAGCACTATAGCATATAGCTGCCATACAAACTGTACAATCGGAATCAAGTACTTGTATGGACAACCCTTTCATTTGATGAGATATCTTCACGAAATTTGGCATGGATTATTATTTAAGGCAACAATATATTCTCCACTGATATTGTTCATATCAGATCACTATATCATATAGCTGTCATACAAACTGAACGATCGGAATCAAGTGCTTGCATGGAAAGCTTTTTTATTTGACGAGATATCTTCACGAAATTTGGCATTGATTATTATTTAAGGCTATAATGCAATCTCCGAAGAAGTTGTATAGAAGGTATGAATAGCATATAGCTGTCATGTTAACTGAACGATCGAAATAAAGTGCTTGCATGGAAAACTTTTTCATTTGACGAGGTATCTTCATGAAATTTGACATGTATTATTATTTAAGGCAACAATGTATTCTGCACAGATATTGTTCAGATCACTCTATCATATAACTGCCATACAATCTGAACGATCGAAAGGGTGTTGCAGCTTCAGTGCAACCGAAGTTAACGTGTTTTCTTGTTTTCGTTTTAATGTTAATAGTCAAATATTCATGCATGTGAATTCGTTCACTTTCCTTAACCCTTATGTTAGTAACCAACTTTACCGACGTCTTTTAGCAACCGGGTACCGTTTTTTTCTTCAAATATTAATAATCAGTGACAATTTAAAGAAAAAAGTAATAATAATAACGTAGAATCATGAATGACATCTGAAACCTATTTGGGACACTCCAGGTAGTCGGCCGGCTTTTATTGTTCGGAGCAAAGCAGATGCTGTTCGAGAGAGAAAGAAAAACTCAAGGTTATTTCTTTGTTTTCTATCGCGCACTAGATTCGAGCATTTTTTAGTATGTTACAGATTTTTTGTGGGATCAGACGTGTTTCATTTGGTGTTCTCTTGACAGTGAAAAATAAAGCTATGGAACAGTTATCGAGAGCTGACTATGCTCGGTAAGTAAACGTTACATATATTTAACATTTGTAAATATTTTAATTACAATTTTGTTCAATATAATTGTAATTATTTACGACGTATAACACATAATATTTATTTCATTAGGTTAAGTGCAACCGAAAGGAATGCGTACTTGAGGAAAACACGACAGTGATTCGAGTAGGGTTCCTGATAGCTAGACATCAAAATCAACAAGGTAATTCAGTGCGTGACCAACCAGAAAATTTTCAAGACACAGAAGAAATCGCTGAAGAGAATTCAGCAGTAGAAGAAGAAGAAGTTAAGAGTTTGCGAGAGTTAGGATGATGACAATGAAGTGAAACAGCTGAGCCTGAAGGTAGTAAAATATTTGTTCTTAGCAATGATTGAAATAATAATTATTTTTCTTAAATAATTAATTAATGTTGTTATTATTATTTTAGGAAGAGCTTAAGAACCATGTGGGAGTTTTATTGCCAAAGATAAAACAGTGTGGAACAAAACTCCACTAACTCAGCATCAGACCGCAGCTCATAATGTTGTACGCCAGCGGAGTAGGCCTCATCGCAGTACGGAAACGTTGTCAATTAGCGAGACTTTCAAAAAAATATTTACTTACGAAATGGTTGATAAAATCGTCCGTCACACTAATAAAAAAGCTGAAACAATTTTCCAAGAGTACAATCCGAACCATACAAACTTACAGCATCAATGGAAACCCGTTACGATACCCGAAATTTATTGGTTCTTCGGAATCTTGATTTGTGCTGGAGCAAATAATTCGAATACAGATCATGACATGTGGCAATCCAATTCTTGTCCGAACAGCTTTATCGATACCGTACTGGATTTACTCAATATATTCTATCGAAACCAGCTAAGTATGGTATAAATATCTGGTGGATTTGTGATGCAGAAAATGCATATCCTTTGCAAAGGATTATGTACCATGGTAAAACAGATAATACTCGAGAAAAAAATCAGGGTGAAAGAGTAGTGAAAGAATTGGCGGCTCCGTACCGAGGTAGTGGTAGAAACATCTGCATGGAATATTACCATTGTTGGCATGCTAAAAAATAATGAATCTTACATCTCTAGTGTTATGATAGCGAATAAGACACGGGAGCAGTATTCCACAGTTTTTGGATTTCAGGAAAAGGTTACCATGTGTTCCTACGTTCATAAAAAAAAAGAAAGCTGTCATTCTGATATCTACAATGCATTCAGATATATCAGTTGATGATGACGCTAAATGAAAACCAGAAATAATAAATTTTTTTGATAAATATTAAGCTAAGTGAAGAACTTGCATTACCGATGATTGAACATCGCACGGCGAGTCCACGAGTAATGACCTACTTCTCAACAAAAATGCCATTGAAAGTGTATTAAACCATATCCTGACAGAAACAGTCGTGATAAATCCTGGTGCAGAGACTCCAAAAGATAAAACCGGAAGGAAAAAAGTAACAGGATCTTGTCATGTCTGCAATGCTTTGCCAATAAGAAGACGGCGAAAGACACGTAAGGCCTGTGCCAATTGTCACCAACCTGTGTGTGACGAGCACTCATTTAAAGGGTGTACAATATATTCAATGTCATTAATTATAAAAAAAAGGGTGATATTTCTTTATTTTTTTTAATAAAATTTAGTTGCATTCATTAATAGAAATTATATACAATTTTTTTCTTATGCTTTCCACTGTGTACCCGGTTGCTAATAGGGTGATGGCTAGAGTTTAAGCTTATTTAAAAAAAAAATAAAAAATAAATCAATTAAATGAACTCACAAATAGCTTTCTTTTAAGTTAAAAAACGACGACTTGAGAGCTTAAAATGAAATACTGAATTTTGTTTAAGCTATTCACACAAATACACCGCGGTTGGTACCCTGTTACTAACGTAAGGGTTAAAGTAATATTAATCGATGCATATTGTTGTTGTTGTTGTTCTACCGGCAGGATTCTACCGAGTTGACAGTCCTTGGCCGGAATAAATCCGGGTCCGTTCCGGTTACGTAGACCCGACTGTCGTGAGAACGGTGTATATTGTTGTCAATGAATATGACGGCTAGGGTAGTAAATTTTAGTATCATCACCTACTGTTAACAAAAAAATGCTCGCTGATATCTCACATATTTACCAGTTATAAAACTTAAAGTCAACCGAATGTTTGAAAATCCATATATATTAGGGTTGCCTTTTATATTTCGGGATGAGAGAACAAAGACAAATTCATCGAAAATCGCTTTTCTGTTTCTTAAAATATTCTCCAGTAAAATCTTTATAAATACTTTTGCATGTTGATCCAATTGTCGAATTTGTCACTCTGATTATGGTAGCTCCAAAACATGCGTTGGACATGTCCAGTTTTTCCATTTGCTTGGAAGTGCTACGTACGCAAACAACTTTTGTTCCACTCATCTTGAAATACCCATACAGTCGACTGCTGTTTTCTTTCGGGCTCATACGGGTAAGTCTACGATTCATCAATGGTCACGATGTCATAGACGTGTTTCGAAGCACCGCTACCGTATTTTTTTTATTGTTTTGTGTGGATCCAACGTGAAAAAATTTTTTTTACAGTCAAATGTTCATGCAATATTAAATGTATGCTGGTCCCACCTAATGTAATGCCTCTATCTCATGATAGGTAACATGACGATATTGCAATGTCAGTTTACGCACAGCATCAATCGCATAAACAACAACTTATACTCTCGCAACCTGTGGCTACATAATATAATAGTATTGTTCACCTAACGGTTGTTTGTATCACCTAAAACTAATCGAGTTAGATAAAGGGTTATATTATATAAATATATAAAAATGATCAGGATGAAGAGGCGAGTTGAAACCCGGGTGACTGTTTGTACGTCCGTTCGTGCAAGCTCTAACTTGAGTAAAAATTGAGATATCTTTATGAAACTTGGTACACATATTTCTTGGTACCGCAAGACGGTTGGTATTGCAGATGGGCGTAATCTGACCACTGCCACGCCCACAAAACGCTATTGATCAAAAACAAATAAATTGCCATAGCTAAGCTCCACAACAAGGTACAAGACTGTTATTTGGTATACAGGATCCCATTGCAGTGGGGCATTTTCAGTTTAAAATTTGTTTAAAAAGTGGACGTGGTACCTCCCCCTAATAGGTTTAATGCGCATATCTCCTAAACCGCTAAAGCTGTAATAACGAAATTCACTGTGAACAAATGCTTTTAGCACCTCTATCGACAGCGTGAAAATGCGCGATAAACCAAGCCTTGCATTTTTATCTCTGGGATGGTATGAGACGACTTTATAGTAACCACGTTCAAAATTAGACAGTGGGCGTGGCACCGCCCACTTTTAGGTGAAACCCCATATCTTGGGATCTGCTTAATTGATTTCAAATTCCGAATTTAATATAATAAAAAATAGCTAACCGAGAACCAAATTCGATATAAAACATTCTTCTCATATTTTTATGTTATAGTGCGAAAATAGCCGAAATCGGATTACAAACACGCCTATTTCCCATATAACACTATGAAAATCAAGCAAAATATATATATTATCTCAAACGAGTATACCGTTTGACTTTGCGAGAGTATAAAATGTTCGGTTCCATCCGAACTTAGCCCTTATTTCTGTAATAGTCGCAAGATCATTGCTGCAACGCTTATTTATTGATATTTTTTTTCTTTATTGAGTTATTGAATACTACAAGGTGCTTTCGAAAGTAAACAGGACTTTTAAAAAAAAGAAGAAAACAGATGGTTTTATTGGCAAAATCAATTAATTTTATTTAAAATAGTCTCCTTCTGTTGTAATACAGCTTTTTTCACGGTCCAAAAGCATGTCGAACGAGTGTTTTACCTCGTTGCCCGGTATGGCCGCCAGTATGCCGGTGCAAGCCTTTTGAATGGCCTCCACGCCTGCATAACGCTTTCCGTTCATCAGCAAATGCATTTTTCCGAAAAGGTAGAAGTCGCACGGTGCCATATCAGGTAAATACGGGGAGTGGTTGATTGTTAAAATGTGATTTTTGGTCAAACAATCGGCCACAAGCGTCGATCGATGAGACGGCGCATTATCGTGCAACAAATGCCAACTTCCATCTTCGCGGTATTCGGGCCGAACACGTCGAATACGGCGCACCAAACGCTTCAAAAATCCAAGGTAGAATACCGTTTTGGCCGGGTGGAACAAATTCTTTGTGAACAATACCCTTGGAATCATAAAAACAAACCAGCATTGTCTTTACTTTTGACTTCTCCAGGCGCGATTTTTTCGGTTTCGGCTCATTTCTCATTTATGTCCTCACGGCCACTTTGAAAACGTTGAAACCACTCGTGCACTCTGCTACGGGATAAGCAATCATCGCCAGAAACTTGTTTCATCAATTGAAACGTTTCGGTAAAAGTTTTACCAATTTTAAAACAAAATTTAATGTTGGCTCTTTGTTCGAAGCTCATTTTCGCACCGATGACAAAAACGTACTGACACTTAAAACAACTTCACTTCCAATAGATGAAATGTCATGAAATTTTTACTGGAAGTTGACAAAGGATTGCAGATTCTAACGCACTAGTCGACATATAGATGGCGCTACTAGAGTTTACTTTTTTACTGTTTACTTTGGAACGCACCTTGTATAATAAGGGAACTTCTCATAAATATGTACATCTACCTAAGTTATGCATTTCGAAATTTATTGGGGGATGGTAGTGTCGTAGCAGTATGCCGTGTTGTTAAAAAAAGGTTGTAATGTGTACCTTAAAAAATGTTCGTTCTTGTACCATTAGGCAAACCCATATTGTAATAAAACTTGATTGTGAAAGTGTAAAAAAATTTCATTGGATACATATACTACGTATATAATGTGAAAATATAATGTATGCTTGCTTTTGATAACAAACGAATATATTATTTTGCAGAAGCTGATAAGAAGTCGGATTGCCTTTTGACTAATATAAAGCGAAATATATGCCCATACAATACTATAATGAACCGAAATTTACCACAGTAAGTAATCATATTTTTAACTAACTTACCGGAACGGTACATTTTGAGGTGCATGTTTAACATATGTATACATAGAAAACAAGTAAGTAAGTAGTATACTTACAAGATTCTAACGCACTAGTCGACATATAGATGGCGCTACTAGAGTTTACTTTGTTACTTTTTTACTGTTTACTTTGAAACGCACCTTGTATGTATATGATTCAGAATATAAATATGACAGTATTATACATATTATATCATGCTACCAATATTCCTCTTGATTATAAAATATCATTCAGTCTTTATTTTAGCAGCATTCAACCTCTGTAATACCAAGAAAAAAATTCTTAGACAATATTTTTTAGAATAATCTTAAATAAAACACTTAAAATTCGCCTCAAGAAAAGCTTGCGAAAATCGACTATCCCAGTTTTTTGACAACATGGACGACGGTTTCTATGAAAGTGGTATCATGAAATTACTTTCAAAACGACAACAATTTATCTAAAAAAACATTGCATATTTGACCTTAATAGGATCATTAACTATACTTAATAAAACCTTAAATTTGATACAATTATGAAGTTCTTTTTACTAGATTTTATGTAACGCAAACTGTTCAAATCGAATTTTGTATCGGCGAGGTGTTGGTGAGGCGTTCCTTTGGGGTCGCCTGACTGCGCCGCGGCGGTGGGAGGCAGTTAGTCGACCACCGTCGCTCATCGCGGTGAGGTGAAGAAGCGTGTGATATGCCTTACCGCACATTTGACACAGGCCCTCAGACTCGCATGCAGTTGTTGCATGGGTGTGCGTCAAACAATTGAGGCAGTGTTCGTGTGCCTTGGCAGTTAACTGTCGTTGGATGGGTGACATACGTTTGAATATGACGACAAAGCATGCTTCGAAGGCGGTTCAGCTCCGCAGACAGCGATATTGATGTGGATAGTGGGCGCGTGCCCCTACGAGGAGCGATTGAAGAGACTGAGATAGCCGTGGTTCGGAGCACTGTATTTGCCCCAGGACGTGGCCCATTAACGTCGAAACGTATTGTTGGCGCTGGTGCATCTTCGTTCATAATTATCTATATGGGAAAAAAATTATTTAGACTGATTGATTTAGATATTTGTGCCACGTTATGTCAGGTTGATCAACCTTTTAAGGGATTTAGTTTATTATCAGATGTGGGTAAAAAGCATAACTTTACGAGCGGTCTAGTTAGTGTTCCGATTTGCGTACGGAGATCGACTACTTGGATGTGATCATCAGAGCCATGGTGAAAGTTTTCTATGCGGCCAGGCCGCCAACCTTTAACGCCTTTTCTGGAGCTTTCCAGCGGTACCTTTTGTAGTGGTCCTTTAGATACTCTTCTTTTAATCGGCGAATAAAATTATGATGGAGAATTTTGGTTCTTTCCCATGGGCTTAATAAGTAGAGTGACTCCACGCATGGCTCAGGTATGGCTAAAATCGACGCCTTTGAGAAAATGTCCCGCAGTTAGGGGGGCGAAATTGTGAGGGATTTTGCTAGAGGATTGTGGTTGGCCGGGAATAAGGAACGGAATCAATTCGAATTAATAGTGTCGTGAATTCTTCATAATTAAATTTGTAATTTCCAGCTACCTTTATGGAGTGGGATTTGAAGCTTTTTACCGCTGATTCTCATAAACCACTAATATGAGGAGCACTTGGGGGGTTATACTGCCAATTAATGCCTTGAGGAGCGTACTTATGTACAATCTCCGTTGAGACTTGTTTGATAACGTCCACAAACTGTTCAGTGTCTCTTTAGGCTCCAATAAGAATTTTTCCGTTGTCACTCGTTATTTTTGAGGAAAAATTACGCCATCCGTCGAAGTGAGCGAATGCCGCGATAAAAGCCTCTGTCGTCAGATTTGTACACAGCTCAAGGTGAACAGCTTTTGTCGTAAAACAAACAAAACGGCCAAATAGCCTTTCATTAAGGTGGAAGACCTTTACATTGAAGCCTTTATCTGGAAAGTTCCAGCAAAATCAACACCTGTTATTGTAAAAGGCAGAGCGAAGTTGCAACGTTTAGGTGGAAGTGTTGCCATTGTCTGCGTTCTAATTTTTTTCTTGTACGTTATGCAATCCATGCACATGTAAATGCACTTCTTTATTTGAGGTTTAAGTCGGGGAATATAAAACTCTTGGAGGAATATTTGTTACATGAGGCGGTGCTCGGCGTGTAGCATTGGTATGTGGACATAATTTAGGTATAACGTGATTATGGGATGACGTTCGTTGTATGTCAGTCATTAGCTGAACTTTCCAGAAATGGGCTTAGTACTAAAAGTGAGGTCTTTTAATCAATCGGCTTCGAGTCTCTTAGCAATGATATTTCTCGGCTGAACTAGTGCACTTGAGCAGATGCGTCATTGAATCGCATCGGGGGTATATTGGAGGTGCTTCCTTTACTTTAATTCTGAGTCGCTCTATAAGTTTGATCATGTGGCCAAGAATCGGGAGATTAATTGTTAATCATTGGAGTTCAGTCCACCAGAGAGTGGAGGTGGCAAGATTCTGGGGCTTGCACCCTCTTGTATCTAGAATGGCAGAATAATCAGCACTGGATACATGTCGTCAAATGCAAATATATGAAATATACGTCTTCCATGCATGTGGTGGTTTTTCTAAGCAGGCTAGTACAATTTCTTAATTGGACCATAGATATAATTTATATTGTGCCATGTTTAAATGCGTTTGTACGATGGACACAAGTATGGCGAGTAGTAGCTCTCCACATAGTTCAAGTCGTGGTAGACTTATTGTGTTTAAAGTAGCCACTTTTGCTTTTTCTACTAGTAAGTGGCTTGTGGTCGCAGTGCCGTTCGACTCTGTGCTCTGGGGCATAATTTACCCAACATGAGATTTGTATCCGTGAGATATCATTCAGATTACACGCGGACCACTTTTCTAAACGATGTTGTTCTACTTGACTTTTCACTTGTATCGTAATTGGCGAAAGCCATTCTGCGGAGTCGAAAAGTTTTGCCACAGAAAATAAAATTTATCGCTTTGTTATGGCGGATAATGCAGCTATTGACTCCGTAGTGTATGAAATGGTCAGATATCACATTCCTTTTCGAATTTAAGGAAATTCGTATCTAATAAATTTTAATTTGGTATATTTTAAATATAAAATATTATGGTGGTTCGCCGTTATCTTTTTCAACGGAAACTCTGCGGTTTTGAGGGCTTGTATATCAATGATACTGTGACTTCCAGACAGGATATCGTCTACATAAGTTTGTGTTTTTAACACTTCGTTTGCCAGAGGAAATTCTTACATTGTATTTCCTGCCAATTTATGGAGTGTTAGAATGGCTAAATAGGAGCACAGTTGACGAAACTCTGGCTCTAGTGGTAGTCGTACGATGTACCGCCCATTATCTGATCTAGTAGTTGTGGCTTTGTAAAACTCTTGACAGAACTGATCTTCTGGGTTGGTAATGGGGCAAATTCGAGATTTGATGTTGCAATTAACCCCTTGGCTCTTTTCATATTTGCCCTGTTTGGGGGTGAGGTGAAAAAATTGTTATAACGAAGCATAGAATGATGTCGATGTTTTCGCAATCTTTGAGTGAATGCACTTATGACAAACATTTTGTACAAAGTTTTTATGTTTCTTTGTACTGTTCAATCTGGTCAAAGCAGATTTCATATTTGGCGTAAGCCGAGGATTTAAAATTTTCTGGTAGATATGAGTCGTCAAATTCTACTATGGCGTCATATGAAGCTGGGAGACGTATTCTAAAACTGTCGAGGCTTTCCTTTTTGATTTCTGATGCCGATTCAGACTTATAGTGAATCGGTGAAAACGAAACCCGAGTGCGGTATCTTATTAAACTGTCACTATCAACAATGAATTTATTGTATGTAATGTCTTTCATCTTTTTTTGTTTTCTATCACCTTGCTTTGAGCCTTTAGCTTCTGCAGGTGTACATTCACTTTTTTCGTCCGAAATCATTTTTGTTACTTTTAGAGACTGTGTTTTTTTGGATTCCTTTGAGTTTGAGCTCATTTATGTTTTGAATCAAGAAATATCTTCGTACTTATATATGAATATATGAACGAAAACTGTTTTAGTAAATAGAGCTTTCCATTTCGACAAAATTAATTATAATTTCCGTGTACATGTATAACCTCAAAGTTAATTCGAGTTTTTAAAAGCGAATTAAAGAACTGAAATACGCGGATTTAGTTCTTAAAGATACTGATTCGTATTTATTTTTAATTTAATAGTTTATTAACAACCGCACTTTTTATTT